GAGAGAAGATTATAGGGGGGGGAGAGAAGATTATAGTGGAGGGAGGGGGGGATTATAGGGAGGGGGAAGATATAGGAGGGGGGAGAAGACAGGGGAGAGAAGATTACAGGGAAAGGGGGAGAGAAGATTATAGGTGAGAGAGGGGAGAAGATTATAGGGGGAGAGAAGATTACAGGAGGGGGAGAGAAGATTATAGGGAGGGGAGAAAAGATTATAGGGAGAAGGGTGGAGAGAAGATTACAGGAGGGGAGAGAAGATTACAGGGAGTGGGAGAAAGATTATAGGGGAGAGAAGACACAGGAGGGGAGAGAAGATTATAGGAGGGGGGGATAGAAGATTATAGGGAGAGAAGATTATAGGGGGAGGGAGAAGATTGAGGAGGGAGAAGAAGAAGATTGGAGGGAGGCAGGGGGAGTGGAGAAGATTGAGGGAGGGGGGGGAGAAGAAGAAGATTGAGGGAGGGAGGGTGGGAGGGAGAAGATTGAGGGAGGGGGGAGTGGAGAAGATTGAGGGGGAGGGGGAGAAGAAGAGATTACATGGAGGGAAGGGAGGAAAAGAAGAGAAAATTACAGGGGGTAGGGGAGAAGATTACAGGGAGGGGGAGAAGAAGAGAAGATTACAAGGGAGGAGAAGAAGAGATTACAGGGACGGGGGGAGAAGAAGAGGAGAACACGGGGAGAAGAAGAGGAGAACACGGGGGGAGAAGAAGAGGAGAACACTGGGGGTGGGAGATGAGAACGTAGGGGAGGGAGAGACCACTAAAGGAGGGAGGGGGCGGTGGAGAGACCACTAGGGGAGGGGTGTGAGGAGAGACCGCTAAGGGAGGGGGGTGGAGGATAGACCACTAGGGGAGGGTGGGGGGAGAGGAGAGACCACTAATGCAAAGTCGGGGAGAAAAGGAGACCACTAAGGGAGGTGGGGGTGAGAGGAGAGACCACTAAGGGGCAGGGGAGATCTCTAAGGAATGGAAGGGAGAGCTCTATAGGACAGGGGGCAGGACAGGGAGCTCTTTCACACCACGCGCACACACACACACAAACACACACAATGCATCCCTATACACACAGAAACACAACATGCTTCCCTTACACAGAGAGAAACACACAATGCAACCCTTACACATAAAGACAATGCATCATTTGCACATATACACAGAAACACACAATGCATCCCTTACACACACATGCAAACACACACTACTTCTCTTACACACACACAGAAAAACAATGCATCTCTTACACACACTCAACGCACCCCTTACAGACACACACACTGCATCCCTTACATACACAGAAACACATTTTGCATCCCTTATGCATACAAACACAGATTCACACAATGCATCCCTTACACACAACAAGAAACACACAATACATCCCTTACACAAACACTCACTGCTTTCTATCCCTTACACAAAAACACACTGCTTCCACTACACACAAACACACTGCATCACCTACACAAACTGGTATCCCTATAGACAACATTCCATAAGCACACACATTAGATCCTCTACAGTAACAAAAAACACATTCCCTACACACTCTACTCCCTGTGAGCAAACTCATGGGTGGAACATGTAGGTGGACGTATGGGTGGGCTTTATGGGCATACTCACCGTCAGGCCCTGGGGCCCAGACCTTGAGCTATGTAAGAGGCCCCAAAAAATGGAGCTGCTTCCCGTTCTCCCAGAACATTGAATTTTGTGACCACAGTTACAAATCTTTCTTTTGCCTAGGGCAGCAAAAATCCTTGCACTGGCCCTGCATAGCAGTTTCTCTGAAACTGCTATGTTTATAAAAAAATGGGTTAACCCTAGCTGGACCTGGCACCCAGACCACTTCATTAAGCTGAAGTGGTCTGGGTGCCTAGAGTGGTCCTTTAAGGTTATATTAGCTGAACTAAAAGCATAGCTGACTTACAGCATGTGTCCCATTCTGCAATTTTCACCTTACATTTGTAGTTCACTTTGAATTTTCACTTTAGTGAACAACCCTAAAGGTATCTTTATCAAGCTTATTACAGACACCCTGTGCTTCGAAACATTGGCCTTTCACGTTTAATGGCGGAATAAATCACCATTTTAAACAGATTGCCTTGTGCTGAGGGTTTCTTTTAAGTTTAACTGTACAATGACGTGCTGGCTCACCTCTAGCGTAAGATATTCACAAACTAAATTTTGATCAAGCGTAAGACCCCAAATCTCATTATCATGGACGTACTTAACCCATAAAAAAAAGTAATAAAAAAGTTGTAATCCCCCCCCCCCCCGATTTTTATAAAAACACCCACTGTTTATATGATTTATTATTATTAACCCCCTATTACCAAGTTATCTATAGCAATAAAATACCACTAGAGGGTGTTATTATTTGTGTGTGTGTTCTGAAACGTAATGTGTACAATTAGTTTCCATTACCAGTATGCATCGATAATATATTTAATGACAATAGAACATGGCTGTTGATCCTTGTTTAACAGACGGTAAGAAACAAATACAAAAAATGAGCAAAATGCAATATTTAGCAATTTGGTTGTATTCCTGTTGAAGTTATTAACAGAGCTGGCCTTAGTGGTGTGCGCCCTTTGTGACCGTATAGTGCGCACCATGAGAGGGGACAACATTGCTCAGTCCTGTTAGATCACGGAGGGTGCAGCAGGTGGAGGTGCTTCCCCCCCATTTAAAGCATAAGGTCTCGACAAATACTGGAGAGACTGTGCCCACATATTTCTTGAACCATAACCCTTACAATAAGTTGTAGTAGTTATGGTGCTTGAAGTGAACCTTTAATTCTAGACCCTACATTTACTACAATTCAGTTCAATTGATAAGTGCATATATATAAACATGGTGAGTATTGCCTTAGTTCAGGTGGTTAATAAAATGGAACATGGTAATTATAGCCTCAGACTGGGTATCTAATAAAATGGAGCATCGTGAGTATTGCCCCAGACTGGGTATCTAATAAACTAGAGCATTGTGAGTATTGCCCCAAACTGGGTATCTAATAAAATGAAGCATCGTGAGTATTGCCCCAAACTGGGTATCTAATAAAATGGAGTATGGTGGGTATTGCCCCAGACTGGGTATTTAATAAAATTGAGCATGGTTAGTATTTACCCCAGACTGGGCATCTAATAAAATAGAGCACTGTGAGTATTGCCCCAGACTGGCTATTTAATAAAATTAGTATTTATGGTGCAGTGTTAGGTGAATAGTAGCTGTTACCATGTGCATTATTTGTTTGGGTATCAGATGGATAGGGGGTTGGGGATATGTAATAAAGGGACTGATATTGAGGTATATAAAGATGTAGGAAGTTACGAGTGTACACAGAAACATATCTTAAGTAGAAAGCAATGTATCTAAAGGTTAGGGAGGGTGTGGGGTATATTATGAGGGTACAAAGGATACGTATATTGGACATACATTGAGAGTATTAAAAGGTTAGAGGGATGTGGGGTATATTATGAGGGTACGCAGAGATTCATATTTGTGTGTACATTGAGGGTATGTAAAGGTTAGAGATGATGTGGGGTATATTATAAGGGGAAAAAAGGGATTAATATTTGGGGTATATGGAGAGAGTATGTAAGGGTTATAGAAGATATGGGTTATGTTATGGAGGTACATATGGAGTATTTGTTTGGGTGTATATTGAGGGTATCTATGGTTACATATGATGTGTGGTATCTTATGAGGGTACACAGGTAGTTATATTTGGGATCGACTGAGAGGGTGTGGGGTATATTAATTGAGCACACAGTTATATTTGGGTTATACTGAGAGGGCTGAGGAGGATGTGTGGTATATTATGAGGGTACACAGGTAGATATATATGGGATATACTGAGAGGTTATCTAAGGGTTAAAGAGGATGTGAGGTATATTGATTGAGTACATGTGTAGTTATATTTTGGGTATACTGAGAGGGTATGTGTGGGTTGAAGAAGATCTGTGGTATTTTATGAGGGTACACGGGGAGTTATATTTGGGATATAGTGAGAGGGTTACTGTGGATGTGTGGTAAATTATGAGAGTACACATGTAGTTTATATTTGGGATATACTGATAGGTTATCTAAGGGTTAGAGAGGATGTGAGGTACATTGATTGAGTACACAGGTAGTTATATTTAGGTTATACTGAGAGAGTTACGGCGGATGTGTGGTATATTATGAGGGTACACTTGCAGTTATATTTGGGTTATACTGAGAGGGTTACTGTGGATGTGGGGTATATTAATTAAATATACAGATAGTTATATTTGGGATATACTGAGAGATTATCTAAGGGTTAGAGAGGATGTGAGATATATTGATTGAGTACACAGGTAGTTATATTTAGAGTATATTGAGAGGGTATGTGTGGGTTGAAGAGGATGTGTGGTATATTATGAGGGTACACAAGGTATAATTTGGGTATACTGAGCTGGTTTTTAGGAGTTAGGAGGTACTGGTTATGCCATAGGGGTATATGGCTGATAATTGTGGCACACAGTATATGTTGGGTTAACATTTATACACATTATATGTTGTGTTAATATTTACACACAGTATATTTTATATTTATATTAATATTTATACACATTATATGTTGTGTTAATATTTACACACAGTATATTTTATATTTATATTAATATTTATACACAGTATATGATTTATTAACATTGAATGAAGTGACTGATTAAACTCAGTGTGAGGCTCCATATCCAGATCTCAACGGGTTAATACACATAACTTTAACACGGCAGCGCTGAAGGGGTTACGTCGCTTAGCAACGCTATGCCTAGGATACCCACGCCCCCTCGCCTTACACTCATCCAATCAGCGGTCCAGCTACGAGTCTCGCCGTTTCCCAGGTTGTAAAGGCGCTCGGGTCAATGATCGGCGACCTGATTTGCATGAGCCAATGAGCGGCGCAGTATGCAGATGAGGTGCGCGCCGATTGGCTGAGCGCGGGACCAAGAATCCCGGCAGCGCGAGGCGGGTAGCAGAGTTTGTGGAGCTGAGGGAGAGGAAGGATCGGAGTGAGACTTGTAACTGAGGAGATACTTAGCGCTCATCTATACACAGCAACGGGCAGCGGCCAACACAACATGACCCTGGAGGAACTCACTGGAGAACACAGCATGGGAAAGTAAGGACGGATACCTACACACTGCTACCGGGGGGACCAGGCATTGCCCTCAAACTGCCCCAGGACCAAGCATTGCCCTCAAACTGCCCCAGGACCAGGCATTGCCATCTAACTGCCCCAGGACCAGGCATTGCCCTCTACCAGGGGGATCACTAACTGGACCAGGCATTACCCTCTGACTGCCCCAGGACCAGGCATTGCCCTCTGACTGCCCCAGGACCAGGCATTGCCCTCTGACTGCCCCAGGACCAGGCATTGCCCTCTGACTGCCCCAGGACCAGGCATTGCCCTCTGACTGCCCCAGGACCAGGCATTGCCCTCTGACTGCCCCAGGACCAAGCATTGCCCTCAAACTGCCCCAGGACCAGGCATTGCCCTCTACCAGGGGGATCACTAACTGGACCAGGCATTGCCCTCTGACTGCCCCAGGACCAGGCATTGCCCTCTGACTGCCCCAGGACCAGGCATTGCCCCTCTACCAGGGGATCACTAACTGCCCCAGGACCAGGCATTGCCCTCTAACTGCCCCAGGACCAGGCATTGCCCTCTACCAGGGGATCACTAACTGGACCAGGCATTGCCCTCTGACTGCCCCAGGACCACGCATTGCCCTCTGACTGCCCCAGGACCAGGCATTGCCCTCTGACTGCCCCAGGACCAGGCATTGCCCTCTGACTGCCCCAGGACCAGGCATTGCCCTCTACCAGGGGGATCACTAACTGGACCAGGCATTGCCCTCTACCAGGGGGATCACTAACTTCCCCAGGACCAGGTATTGCCCTCTACCAGGGGGGAATCACTAACTGCCCCAGGACCAGGCATTGCCCTCTACCAGGGGGGATCACTAACTGCCCCAGGACCAGGCATTGCCCTCTACCAGGGGGGATCACTAACTGCCCCAGGATCAGGCATTGCCCTCTACCAGGGGGATCACTAACTGGACCAGGCATTGTCCTTTTTACCAGGGGGATCACTAACTGGACCAGGCATTGTCCTTTTTACCAGGGGGATCACTAACTGCCCCAGGACCAGGCATTGTCCTTTTTACCAGGGGGATCACTAACTGCCCCAGGACCAGGCATTGTCCTTTTTACCAGGGGGATCACTAACTGCCCCAGGACCAGGCATTGCCCTCTACCAGGGGGGATCACTAACTGCCCCAGGACCAGGCATTGCCCTCTACCAGGGGGGATCACTAACTGCCCCAGGATCAGGCATTGCCCTCTACCAGGGGGATCACTAACTGGACCAGGCATTGTCCTTTTTACCAGGGGGATCACTAACTGGACCAGGCATTGTCCTTTTTACCAGGGGGATCACTAACTGCCCCAGGACCAGGCATTGTCCTTTTTACCAGGGGGATCACTAATTGCCCCAGGACCAGGCATTGTCCTTTTTACCAGGGGGATCACTAATTGCCCCAGGACCAGGCATTGCCCTCTACCAGGTGGATCACTAACTGCCCCAGGACCAGGCATTGCCCTCTACCGAGAGTATCTGGGATTGCTCCCCCCAGGCTCTTTATGTAACAGTTATTTGGTTGCTACCTTAATTTTGAGGTGCTAATTAATGCTTACTGTCTTTGTTAAAAATGCATGTAGCTCTAGTTGTTTCTGTTAGTGAGGGGATTTTAACAAACCTTCTCTTTTTGGCCTGTGCACACAAAGCCCTATTTAATCTATGTCCATAGTATTCTTGTAATGTGCATTGTTCTCTGCAGTGCTGGGAAGGGTTAATGAATGACACAGACGTTTTGTTTTTGGTATTTTCTATCTGTAACCCTGTAACATGGGTGAGTAACATGTTTGTTGGAAATATCTGTGCAGGCTTTATGTAGTAACACATGCCTGTTGTTATTTGCAGAATGGATACTGTTGGAAATGCATTACAAGAAGTGCTGAACAAGGCCAAGCTCCAGCGAACCATCACAATTGGAGTGTATGAAGCTGCCAAGCTACTGAATGTGTAAGGACTTTTAAACTAAAATTTAGACATTTTAAAGGTATTGTTGGCATTCCAACATTTACATCTATTTTGTGCTAGTTTTTAACTGCAAGTATTTGCTATATTAGCTGTCAAAAATCGCCAACCTGTGTACCAGTTGTAGAAATACAATTCCCATTATGCTTGGCCAGTATTAAGCTGGCAAAGAGTCATGGGAGTTGTAGTTCTGCAACAGCTGGGGATAATGCTTTTTGAGCCTCTTAGATTAGAAGCTTTTAATACACGTAAATGTATAGGTAAACCTTGACAGCGATGAAACTCCTATTAGTTGTAATGTATTTTATTTGAACTGATTGCGTGCTTTATTGTCTTGTTCAGTAAGTCGCTGCTACAACTTTTTAATAAGTGCAGAGCGTGACTTGTTTTCTAAACTAAACCACTTATTTCTCACTTTTTATTTTGTACAGAGACCCAGACAATGTGGTGCTTTGTCTGTTGGCTGCGGATGAAACGGACGATCAGGATGTTGCTTTACAAATCCACTTCACCCTGATCCAGGCGTTTTGCTGTGAGAATGACATCAACATCCTGAGAGTGAGCAATGTGAGCCGGCTGGCTGAGATCCTGGGAACCTCTGACAAGCCTGGGGAACCTGCCGATCTGCATTGCATTCTAATCAGCGTAGGTGATACTTTCCTATAGAAATGTAACTGGGTGGAATGGACATATTTTTTTTTTTTTTTTTTTGCCTGATGGATTTTTAACCCCTTCATAATCAGAGTTAAACATCTTGTATGTTCTGACATGTTGCTGCTCCAAATGGATTAGACAAAGCGTTTATTAAACAGAACTTATTTTCTATAGGGACTTATTTACTAAAGTGTGGATTGTAGTGATTTTTTTTAAATCCAAATGGCAATTCATGGAGAACCTGTCTAGATCAGCTGTTCTGACATGAATGAAAATATATATATATATATTATACACATTCATTTTATGATTGTCTCCTCCAATCTAATAAGGACTACAAAATCAGTCACTTATGTCACATGGATTTTCTTACATATCTTGCTGCACCTGTGGATGTTGTAGGAATACTGTACACCCACTCTACCGGTTAGGTAATGCCCCCCCCACCACACCCATATGGCAACGTCTCCTGCTAATAAATCCCTCTTAAAGCCTCCAGCCATGGAACAATTAATGTTTAGAGGGCATTGTAATGTTGCCCTTCCCTGGTTTCTATTGCCAGTGCTGTGTAGTTCCCAAGCTTCTCTTAGGCTGACTCACTTTCACATTCCTCCGCTCCTTGCCCCCCCTCACACACCATGAGTTTCGGTAATGCAAGATCAGTGACTTTGCTCTCTAATGCATTTTTTTTTTTTTTTTTGTAAATGGACTTTGACCAACTGCTTCCCTGAATTGCTGTCTGGGGTTTTCCGGTTTCTGACTTGTTCCAACATGTCTGTTCCTAACTGTACTGTGCATAAGTTTCCTCTTTGGGTGCAATTAAACAGATTTTACAAGCACCCTCAATTACTGGGGGTCTATCTGCTAAACAGCAAGTTGTTTCTGTGTCTGTTTAAATGTATACAATGTCTGTTTCTGGAATGCAATTCTAATGAGACTTTGTTTTCCCTCTTTCAGAGTCTGCACCCATCTCCGTGCAAGGATACTGCAATGCAGGAAGTGATCTGCTTTTGCAAAGAGAGCCGGTACCTGGATCAGTGGGTTCCTGTGATCAATCTTCCTGAACGATGATTTTCCTTACGGAATCCCAAGGACATTTCTTTATAAATGTTTCAAAACAGAAAAAAAAAAAATACTTTACGGAGGTTAAAATAAAATATTTGAAGAAAAAAATGACTCTCCGGGAGAAACTTCTACAGTGGAGGTTTACAGAGTGTTTTAAAACATGGACTAATGCGCAAAGGAGTCTGGGAGAATTCACTATGTATTGAGAGCAACTCAGGAGTTACGATCACTGATGGCGACTGGATTACGCCGAACATATGCTTGAAAGAAGAGACTGTACAGAGTTTTTGTTGTGGAGCTTAAGGGTCAACAAAAAAATACATTATAAAATATGAAATAACAGGGGGAAAAAGCTGTCTGTTCTGCAGACGTTTATCTTGGCAATACTGCCGTTTTTTTAAAGATGGGTTGATGCAGTTTTGTCTTTAAGATGTTAATTTATTTCACCAAGTTTTATTTATAATATTGCTATTGTATGCCTTTTTAACGGATTGGTACAATTCTACTTTTTTAATGTAGACTAATATGGATGAAATTCAATGTTCTATTTAAAATGAACTCTTGAATAAACTATTTAAAGTATTTGCGGTTTCTGTGTGACTTTTTTTTTTTTTTTTTTAATCTTGGCCAGAGGAATCTGTTTGAAACTTCCTGTGTAGAACAACATCTTAAAGGAACACAAACATTTATTCCTGACAGTGTTAAAACCACTATTTAGGTCTCTGGCTCACCTGGCAGAGTGGTAAAAGTGTTTTTTAAACTCCCTTTTTCTCCCATGCTGCACCAGTCATGCCGCAGCGTGCTCCTCCTCCACGACTAAGATCAAACTTGATGAACGCAGCAAATCCAATCTTTTCCTATTAGAGAGCATTGGGAGTGTACTGAGCATGTCTGGCAAAATGTTTGGTTATATCAATCAAAATCTCCTAGAGATGCATTACATCAATTTATCTCTATAGGGAATGTTCAGTGCCTCCATGCAGAGCGTGGAGACTCTAAACACCAGTGTTGCACACTGTGCAGTACTGACACAGGAAGCAACTCTAATGGCAGTCCGAGTGACTGTCGCTAGAGGTGTTACTAGCCAGCAAAGTAAACCATGGTGGTGATTACGTTAAGTCTGCAGAGACCGGTTTGTTGACCCCAGAAGCATTTCAATATGTTGTTGTTCTGGTGACTAAAGCGACACTTTAAATTGAACCTGTTTTTATAGATTTAAAAAAAAAATTTTTTTTGCATGAAATCACTCCCATATGCATTGAATACGCCATATGTCACAAAGGAACATGGTGAATTAAATGTAAAATATAAAAAAAAAAAAAAAATACTCCCTTTTACCATGTTCCAGTGCTGCTTCATGGGTGTTACTCTTCGCTTAACACCCACCACCACCTGGCCGTCCTACACTTCTCAGGAAGAGGAGAGGGACCTTCTGTTGGTGGTTTGTTTTTTTTTTGTTTTTTTGTGTGCTTTCCCCTTCTCAGTCAATGCCAAGGAATTGACTGAGAAGAAAAACAGATTTTGGAAAATAATTCCAACAGAAATTGTTTTATTTCTTCAGGATAGTGGTGGGCAACTTTCAGCACTCCGAATGTTGTGGACTACATCTGCCAATGCTTGCCTGCCCTTGCTATAGGGGAATATAGCACTGAAGTAGTGTCAAAAACTAGTGGAAATATTGTGAAAATCTTACTAGTCCTTTTTGAACGGTCTCTTAAAAAAAAAATAAAATTCTTATCCCAATAATTAAGAAATATATATTTTGTCTTTAAATGTAAAATCCCACACTACTTCAACCTGCAACTGGGTGACTCCATCTGGGCTTCCCATCAATCACTGTTTCAAGTCATGTCCTGGCACTCAGCAGACAAATGTTTCAATTTCTCCTCTTTGAGTGTTTGCCTTGTCTAAACTGATTACACTGTCATTTGCTAAATAGTTACATTATATAGCGCCAACATAGTCAGCAGTGCTGTACAATAGAATAAAAGGTCTTTTTTCTAACAGAACATTTGACAGACCCTAGTAGTTGCATGAGTAGCATTCATTCGTATTAAAGTCATGAAAAGCCATATATCATACCTCTGGAAATTCTTATGGTAAAGGACATTTTTGCGTTTGGGGATGTGGTTGGACCTTTTCAGGATTTTTTTTTTTTTAGGGGACTTCACAAACCGTACAGGCATTTACACAAGTGAAAAATACTAGAGTACAATAATCCTAAAACTTATTTGTAATCTACTTGTCCTCACTCTACATTAGCGTGTGCTACTGTGGTGGAGTTGTTATTAAATGTGTGTAATTGTTGTGGAATTTGGCATACTCCTATACACACACACCATACATTGTGTTGTTTTGGAGCACTGTGATTCATTCATACACCATGTGTTATAGTGGATTTTCTTGCCATTGAGTTTGAGTTTTTTTTTTTTTTTTTGCAGTGCAGAAAAGTTTAACATACAGGCATGTGGTGCCCCGATGGCATTCCACATGCTTTTGCAAATAAACAATAACAGTGGGGTATCTGATATGTCTTGCACATTTTTTAGGGTATAGGGTGCGATTGCATGCAACAATAACATGGTAAGATAGGCTGTAGGTTTTCAGTAGCTTGTGGTCACCATGCTAGCTAGATATGCACAATGCTTATATCAACGTTGGTTATGTTTACGCTTAATATGCATTATATAGAATACGTGATGGAAATTCATAACAGTAAAGGAAAAAAAACAATAACCTTGGCTCAACAATTAGTATTACTGTTAGCTTGTGAGTCACTGTGGTTCGGAGCTGTGTGTGGTGATGCCTCCTTTTCTCAATGGGTGTCAGTCCTGGTCACACAGTATAACAGGCATAGGCTCAGGGATGACGAGCCTGGCGCTGACCTGTATGGAGGCTTTGTGTAGAGAGTCTCTATTATCCGATGCCATCTCTTGTGAAGCAGTGGTTGGGGTAGTGTCGGAGGCTGCTGCAGCGGTGGGCAGTGTGGGGACATCCTTCCAGCCCCAGGCTGTTGTGTAGGCCTGCATCTCAGTGCCACAAACTCTGCAGCTTCTGGAGCCTGAGTTTCTACCCCCTGACGGGGGCAATGGAGGGCCTGGTGGTCTTTAGCCTCTTGCGGCAGTGAAGCCTCCTTGCGTGTGGATGATGCGTCCGGGACTTCACCCTTTTGGCCTCCAACCCGGGGGGCACTGTGGTTTAGGGGTGTGTGGGGCGCCTGTCGCTTTGCCCAAGGGTATGCTCTCCTCCCCTACCCGTCATCCGGTTTGTGCTGCTCTCATGCGGTCTCTAAGGTTTGCCCAGAAGCGGCTGAATATTACATCCAGGCGCTGTGCGGTGTCTTGTGAGATCAGCGTGTGCTGGGGTTGATTCGGCGCGGGTGGCGTGTTATCATCCGCCATCTTAGGGGTGCCTCGTGGGCGCCAACACTGGTCTATCTCCACCTCACTTCTCGGCGTGGCTAGCGGCTCCGAACACACCGTGCGGACCGGGATGACCCCCGCCGGTCCAGAGCGAGGTGAGTCGCTTGGAGGGTCTCTCTGCTGAGTCACCCCTTGATGCTGGTGCCGGTTCCCGGTAAGCAACTGGTTAACGGCTGGTATCCAACGATTTGCACGGGTGTCCCCGGTTGTGCTGTCACCTTCCAGGCGTTTAACGCATAGTTTTATTGGGGTTTTTGCCCCAAATCGTGCCATTATGCTCAGGAGCTCTGATTCAGCACGTCCTTGCAGCCTGGAAGCCAGGCTCCGCCTCCAGAGTTCTGTTTTTGTGGAGCTCTGTGATAACTCTATACAGATTCACAGTGAGCTGTTTCATGTGGAGCTCTGTGACTTGCCTAACGGAGTTTGTCAATGAGCTCTGTTATACTCATCACAGAGTTTATTGCAGAGAAGCTGTGATGTTATGTGATACAATCAAACCTTCTAAAACTTGAGAACTTGTAGGTTTCTATTTTTAAAGTCTTTCTATAAATGGTTCCTATGGGGTGAAAAAGATTTTTTTCTTTCCTAGTGATACAGACGCATGTCTGAGCCATTATGTCATTTAGATGAATGTTACACACTCAGGGCAATATAGGGCAGCGTACTGTGTGTATACCAATACTGATAAGTACAGTATGTACTTTAATATGAAGATGTTACAATGTCTGTCTCAGATCCATGTGCCTAACCCAGCTCTCAAAGACACTTTCACATTACTCCTATTATACAAATGGGCAGGATGCAATCACAGGAGTCTAGAGAAGGGGGAAGAGTCTCCCCAGGAACAGAAAGTGAGTACTCACAAGAGCAGTGTGTGTTTGGAAGATTCACAAAGCAACTGTTGGGGATTTGGAAATCAATATATGCATGGGATGAGGGACAGAACTGGGGTAGTTATAAAAAAAAAAGGAGTACAGGTAAAAGGGTAACTGGTGGTTGGGGGGTAATACAGAAGATGGGGAGGCAGAGCACTAAAGGAGATTGGGAAAAGGCTACTACATGAACACAGGTAAAGGTAAGTGGGTAGTACCAGAAATTGTTGGGGAGATGAGGGGATGAGGATATATAAATCTATCCGGAAAAAGGGAATGGGAGAGATGACTAGGGCTCTAAACAAAGTATGGTAAATGCACATAGTGACCTTTCTGGAGATGGGATTCAATGAAAGATAGCCAGATCTGTTTATTGTATTAAACGCTCTGTCATGTGCGATCTACTATTCACCAAATTACTGACCAATTAAAAAAAACTCCAAACACACAATAAATGAAAACCAGACACATTGTAAATGGCTACAACATCAATGTATTTGCATGATAAAACGTTTTACAGATTCACAATCTAGGATGATCTGCTGGTTTTTCTTTTAAGCCTGAACATTGCTTAATCTGGTTAACAAAAACATACACTGACAAAATCATACAAAACAAAAAAAATACCCAAACATATCACCTACAATGCAGGAATATTTCACATATATTTTATAATCACCGCTGATAGGTCTGAGTGACACACACATCCAACAGCAATGAAGTGGTTAAACCAAGACCCTTTAGAGCCTAATTCAGTGTGATTCTTGGGGTGTTTTCACTTAACAGTGAGTGGACAACGGGCTTGCAAAATTTAGGTAAAAACCAAAACCAAAAAAACCCCAAAACTTTCAGCTTTGATAGCTTGGCCTAGATTTTGCAAGTCATATCAGTTCATCGTAGTGTTACGTGAAAACACCCCTTGGTTTGGCAAAGGAAAATAGACTGTTTAACCCATTAAGCACCAGAGTGGTAAGCAATGTACAACTACCCTATGCACAACTTTCTGGCAAGAAAAATAAGCATAGGGGACTTCCAGCACTCCAGCTACTGCAGACTACAGCTCCCATGATGCTCGTTCAACCATAGTCCACAGCAACCAAAGTTGTTATTTCTCGTCAAACTCTTACTTTACAGTTCATAGCAGGTCTGTGGAGCATGTAAAGGGTTAAGCATCAGAAGAGACAAAATATGCAAGATAAAAATCCCATTTTTTTTTTTTTTTTTACGTTTGCGAAATTGTCAGTTTAGAAAAATATAGAATACAAAAATAGTTGCAGAATAAAAAC